GACCGCACTGAGCCGCATCACCACATTGGCCCCCCCCAACGCATCGGACCACATCCCACATTTTAAAACACTAATTCGTACAACTTTGTATGTCTCATTTGTTCTTGTATATAGGTACCACAATATTTTCGTCTATTCATCTGCCATTGTTTTTTGTTCCATCATCTTGTTGAATAACTTAGTCAAGAAGCTGTCAATTTCTCCCATGCACTTCCCAAACCTCTACTGGGATACCATCTGGTCCTAAAGTATTTTCTATCTTCATCTTCCTCAAAGCATTTTTCACTTCGGATATCCTAATCTGCAATTGTATCTATGACCTCTAATCTCATTTATGTCAAAGGTTCCTCCTAACATTGTGCTCCCATAGTGCTCGTCATTTAACAATTTTTTAAAATAAATTCTCCACCTTTTGTTGACCTCGTCATCCTTCACCAAGATCCTCTAATCTGTACTCTTAATGCATTTAACATGATCTAGATCCCTACACTTCCTCTCTCATTTTCGCTAGTTTGAAGACATCTTTTTCACCTTCTCTTGTCCCAACTTGTTGAATTGATCATTATATGCCTTAAGTTTAGCCTCACTTACTATTTTCTTACAACTTTTCTTAGCATTTGTATATTCTTCTAAGTTTTGATCATTTTATTCCTTTGCCAAGCTTCATAACATCGGTAAATAAATAAAAGTTTCTTATTCAAGGAATCATGCAAGACTTCTATTATACTTAATGACATAGGGAATAATAGGTAAGTATCAATCCATTCATGCAAGTATTCCTTCAACATCTTTACTACTTTTGATGAACAAGATAAACCTATTTATATGCATGCAGAAACACAATATCAAGCATAGTTACCCGTATATCTCACCGAAGGTTGCAATTCCGATTCAAAATCCCAATTCAATGATTTTGACAAGGAACCTTCAAAGATCCACTTCCGTGAAGTCTGGAATCTCGATTCCTTATTTTAGGAATCTTGATTCAACACTTAAAATTTCATTTCCACATATACTAATTCTTGATTCCGTAATTGGTGAATCTTGACTCTACACTTGTTGAAACTAGTTTCCACAAATAATGATACTCAGGACATGTTTAGTTGGTGTGAAAATATTTTTCGAGAAATATTTTCACATGAAAAAAATTCCCTCATGTGGTTATGTGTGGGACTATTTTAGACCGTGCATTTTTTCACACCAATTGGCAACTAATTGGTGTGAAAATATTCTCATACCTAACCACATGAGGGAACTTTTTCACATGCAAATATTACCCGAAAAATATTTTCATGTGAACCAAACGTGCCCTCAATTTTATTGTTTTCGAATCCAAAATCCTAGATTCATGAACAAGTACCGTGTTTCGCAGATGCAAGAAACAACAAACTAATCAAACATTGAATCTCGTTTCGACCCTCATAGAACCTTAAGCTGCTTCTTTTTTAAACCGTAATACCACAAAATTACTAATATTCTAGGCGCATAAATATGTGATTATAAATTGACTGAAATAGTTTTGGATTTTGATTTGAGTTATTTGGAAATTGGAACGGGAGATGATTATCTTCCATAGTTCATGGGCTAGTAGGACTTCCCCCCCGCCTTGGTACCTCATCACTACCTTTGATGAAATTGATCATCTTTGCAGGGATATGGACGTCTCATGGCGGCATATGTGGAGGACGTCCAACGACTTTGCGGATCATCTGGCGAAAGAGGGAGCTAGTAGGCAACTTCAGAACCAAGCTGGGGTCGTCTCCTTTTTGGCATAAGACCTCCGGCTCAGCTCACCTCCATAGCCCCTCACATGCTTTGCATAGCCCCTTTTTTTTCGATTTTTTGAAAGCTTCATGTAATTTTTACATTGGGCGGTCTTATAAGCCCTTTTTGTACATGATACATTCCAGTCCACCCCCTAGGGGCTGAACTTGGCCCTCTCTCTCTTGTACACTTCATATACAGTTATAAAATGTTAACCTTCTTCAAAAAAAATTTGAATAACTCCACGCCTTAACCCCTGGTACAAAAGGCACATATCCCTCAATGATAAGGGGAATTTTACCACTTTTTTTTCCCTTCTTTTTACTTTTGTGTGAGAAGTGACGTTTAGAAGTTTTCAAGGCATCAAACTACTCGAGCTAGACAATCAATCTCAAAATACAAGGTGTAGTCACCTCTTTTGGCATAAAATGACCAATAGAAACCGAATTGGTGTCCACTTTTTTTACTTAATTCTTTAAGTATACCTTGTATTGATCCAATATGTAATCTCTTACTAACTTCTATATCAGTCACTATCTATCCATGTGTCTGCTTGATGCATGATTATAAGGGATCATAAATCTCGATTACCAAATGGGTCGAAACTTGAACCCAAACTACTATGGATCTCGATTCCAATGTGAGTCGAATCTTGATTCTAAAATGATCAGAATGTCGATTTGAAATGCCTAGGCATTTCGATTCCAAAATGTTAGAATCTCAATTCCATAAACGAAGGAACCTCGATTCCAAATAGGTTAGAATTCTATTCTATAGAGCTAGGAATCTTGATTCCATCTATGTAGGGATCTCAAATCCATTTTGATCGAATCTTGATTCCTATAAAATAGAAATCTCGTTTCCCATGATTCCTCTTGCACGAACGTTGATTCCAAAAAGATGAATCTTCTAGCCAACTTCCGCAATTTCGATTCCAAAAATGATTCAGATTCGGAATCATTTCCAACAACTATGATATAAAGTTTTCATGAGATAACAACCACAACCACCAAAATTTCAACAAGTAAATAAATTCTCATGAGATCTTCAATAATCAACCCCATTAGAAATCAAGTTTTCTTTTGCTCCATAAATTTAATGAAAAGGAAATCATGGATAAATTCCAAGCTTAAGCTGTTGCCAAAAGCTCCTCACCTTTCCTCAATAAAAAAGAAAGGAAAACAAGGGAAAAAATAAAGCCTGGAGACTAAATATTCAAATGAAAATGTCAAGTATTACAATACAAACGATTTCTAGCAATGTTGTTGGAAGAGCCCTTGCAGCAAAAACATGAAAATAGTTATAAAAAATGTAACTATCATGGAACCTGGAACAAAAAATATTCAGACATAAACATTGCATTCAGTAAATCCTATCAACTCATAAATTCTATTTGCATCGCATTATTTACTCATGAAAGCATTATTTACAAGTCCATTAACTGGAAAGAGATACTAATGAGGTCAAGTATAGGAATCAAGACCACGTTCCCTTATTAGAAGGCAAAAAGCTATTATGTAAGATTCATCACAGAGATCATCCTCATCATCACAGACAGATAAATACAAAATATCAAAGTATCATCATCATCCTCAATTTTTTATGGTTACTGATTAAAAATACAAAATATCAAAGTATCATCATCATCATTTTTTTATGGTTACTGATTAACAATATCAAAGATTTAGAGATATTTAACACTTCAAGCCAGCAAATTTGAGAAGATTTGTAAAATGGTGTTGGAACTGTAAGCAATGTTCAATTACTTGGCTTAGGCTCAAGCTTTAGGCTTTAGCTCCTGCCCTTGCCCAGAAACTCAGGTGCCAAAAAAATACAAAAAATTGTGAAAATTCAAAAAATAAAAAATATAAAAAATACAAATCAGAAAATGAATATAAAACATGAAATAAGAAAAAAAAAAAAGTTACTGGGTTTTAAAAAAAATAGAAAAAATGAAAAAAATGAAAATAGAAAGCACAGTAAAACATATTATATATAAAATAAAATATACTTATAAATCAATTATAATTAAATTAGTAAAAATATCAATTTATGAATTTAAACTGAAAAATTAAACATGCCCAAAATTTCGAGGCCAATCCCCCGATCTTCGTGCTCGGTGAGAATCGATGCCTCAAATCCTTGTCAGAGCTTCCTCCCACAACCCCAATCAAACACCCCAAACTAGTTTTTGGTTTCGAGTTCGGATCTAGGATATCCAACTCTTGAAAATTTCGGATGAATATTAAATAAAAACTTGAAATCTACTAAATTATGTGATTTCTTCCCCTGTGTGTGTGTGTTTTTGTTTTCAATCAAGCCCATGGTGGGATCGGGAAAAAAAAAAGGCTTAGGGACCGAATTTCATCAAATTCTGAACATCCATCGTGAAGAAGTCACAATTTTCAGAATTTTTTGATCCAAAAAATTCTCTCAAGTCCAGTGTTTTTTCTCAAATCTATTCTTTCTAACAAACAGACCAGGCTAAAATATACCTAAGCATGGAATTTTGGCTCAAGTGGGCAACCCTAAGGCTCTAAACCAACGAAGTAAAGAATAAGGGCACATTTCTAACCCCCCGGCCCCCTCTCTTATTGAACAGTACATGGACGAGGATGGTAAAGCCTCACCTGGGTACTGTAGAAATCGGGCGCCCGAGTTCTACAATACTCAGGTGAGTTTGTACAGTACTCAACCAAGTACTACACAGGTATCGAGCCCCAAATTGTGTGCAAGCGATACTCGCCCGAGCAGGGTGTAGCTAGGTCGAGTCGAGTCCACTTGGCCAGTTTTCAAACACTAACTGTAAGAATGAATTACAACACTATTTGTTTAAGGTCCGGTCTGTGTAGAGAAAAACCAATAAAACCAAAGAAAAACTCTAGTTGACCAGAAATTAAAGCTTAAAATCAAATGATCAAAGTTTGAAGCCATATAGAAACCAGATACAGGTGGAAGTTCACCCAATGCATCTGAGGAATAAACTGAACTCTTACCAACATTAAGTTCAACATGAAGCAATTTTCAAGCTGACCCCCAAACAAAAGTCACAAAACAGATAATACAGAACAAAATCCAAAGAAATCATGAACTAAACCAAATTAACCAGCAAGAAACTATAATGCAAGACCTAAGACTCCATTTATATATATACAGACTAACAAAAGGAATACTTTGAAACAAAATTTCAATCCTAGAACTATACATAAAAAATAAAAAATAAAACAAACACGCACCATTTACATTAACAGCTGAGGTAAAAGAAGGAGCCGCAGCCGAAGACTGACATTTGATCCGCCGAATGCCAGAGATTTTCGCCGGAAACGTTGGGCAAAATTTCAGCGAAGAAGAGGGAAAACGAAGCGCGTCCCAAGAGAGAGGACAGGTGTAAGAGATCGCCGCCATTGATGAACTTTGGAAGCTCAAAATGGTAACCTTTTAAGTTGCGAAAACCAGGGGGCCTTGCCCTTGTATAAGGGATGATCACCTAATTATCTAACGACCAGGAAACCCAACGGCTTATGGTGATCGGTGAGATAGCGGAAGTAACCACCAAGCAGCGGTGGGAATGGGCCGGTGCCCAGCATGGCCCGGTCATCCCAGGGCTAAAAAAATTAGGGCTTGGGCTACAAAATGTGGCCCGTGGGAAAGCCCAGTCATCTTTTTTTTTTTGTTTTTATTTTTCCAATTTTATTTGGTCCAACCTGACTCGTGCCCAATAGGGATAGGGGTAGGGATAGGGATAGGGCTATGGATAGGGATAGGGATAGGGCTAGGGCTAGGGCTAGCGCTAGGGCTAGGGCTAAGGCTGGGTGTCCCGGTCAAAGACAGGTAGGGTTGGGGCAGCCTAGGCTGGGTTAGGGTCAGGCCCATTCCCACCCCTACACATGAGTGGGTTTTCCCTTATGTGCATTTAAGAAGCAAAACCGTCCGTTTCCTGTGGCAAGCAGTAGAGCTCGAGTGCAATTGAGTGGATATGGTCTATGGAGATCCTTCAAGGAGTCCTGTGTATGGAAACAACAGGCAGGAAGGCAGATGCCCTTGTGGTGTAGCTTATTTTCATGCATTGGTGATGTGCGGAATTATGCTCTCCCTTCTTCGAAGTGACAAAACCCAGAAGTTGTGGACAAATAATTCTAAGAAACATTAAAGTAGGGGAATTTTACTGATTTAGCCTCATTTAAATAGCTAAAACTAAATAATCGTTAAGAACATGGAATCTTTGAAGGTGGGGTGCTTGTGTCAGGCTCAGTCCAAGGCCGAACGAGCCAAATGCCGAATTAAACACATGTTGATCAACCGAAATTTGTTTTTAATTGAATATGCCTTTCCGGAGTTCCTAACCCTAAACATAAAGGGGGAACATCGTAATTTTGCTTAAATGGCCAAAGGAAAATTGTAGTTACATGCTCACTTATTCAGGGTTAAGAACTCATAACTTGCTTCTCTTCGTTGGAAATCCTTGTTTCATATTCATAACCTAACTCTAGACATGAAGGATTAGTGTACATTTTGTTCCTATTGGGTGAGCAAAATGGTGGTTCTACCCTTACTTGTTAAGGGTTAAGAACTTGGAACGAGCTTTTTTTTTTAATAGGAAATCATTGTTTTGAGTTCCTATCATAACCTTGAACATGGATGGTAATATCATCATTTCTCTTGAATTAAGTGCTATTAGAAAAATAATGGTTTTGCACTTAAAATCCTTGTTCTGGGTTCTTAATCCTAAACGAGCAGGATATTCTACTTAAGTGATTCTAAATTATAGAAAATTAGCCCTGCTAATTTGGATTTTGAAACCATTATAGAGATATATTGAGTATTTAAATAAAAATTTTGAGGAGTTACCTAAGGGGTCGTTTGGGTACCTAGAAATATATTGTCTGAGAAATATATTACTAACGTAGTACATTACTGACATAATACATTATCTGCAAATGGATTGTCTGCGTAGTATCTAGATGCAACTTGTGAAATACACTGCTACTGTTTGGTTATGTTGGAAGAAATCTGAAAAATATATTACCGACATCAAGGTTAGGAAATATTGTGTTAATTTTATCTAGAGTAATATGGCTTTTTTTAATACCTTTTTTTTAGGATAAAAAATCAATTAAAACTACTTTGTTTTCTAATATGTAAAGGTAATATCCACATGGGTAAGTTTATCAGGCAACAATTACCCGACACGTTTGAATTTGTGCTATAAAAACATTAAAAAGCAAACTCATAATAACTCAATAAAGTTCTTACCCTACTGTTACTACACTTTACTCAAGAATCACATTCGAAAAAAAGAAAAAGGAAACAGCCAATAAAAATCATAATCCCAATCTAATTCAAAAAACACCATATGACTACACTACATAAATTATCCCAAAGAAAAAGAGCACACAATATACCAAAATAGATTGTTATAGCGATGAGAGGAAGAGAGCTCTGGGCTTGTAACTTAAGCTTAATTATACCATCCCCTTTATAGCATACATGGATGGGAGCTTCTTATGCGCGTGGCCTGCTCGGAGAGAGTGGAGTGGCTAAAGAGAGAATTTTTTCAAACTCTCAATTTTTTTGACATCCTTTGAGAATAGAGCTTAAAATTAGTTGATTCACCCTAAAATTATTAGGTTTTCTCCTAGGATTTCTATCTTGTCGGACTTTGAAATGGCCATTTGATGATCACTGAATCACAACCATTCTATCTTATGATAAACCTGTCCCGGCATCTGTCAACAAAATTCCCAGTAAGAAACTCGATATTACAGTACTATTCCTTTGGAGAGTAAGCTCTTCTAGATGTTAAGAACCAGGAGAACGATCATTATATAGAAATACTGATGGTTGTACTTTCTCCATTCTAAAATTTCTAGAGCATTGGATCTTCTTCTTCTTCTCGCTCTGCACATAGAGTTATGATCATTGCCAATCAGTTATGAAAGAAGGGATTATCCCTTATCTCGTCAATATTTCTCTTAATAGGAACTCAAGGGGAAGAGAGAGCCAAGAAACTATTAAATCATTTGAGGGATCTTGGAGAGAGAGACAGTTTTAGATAGACAGAGAAATGGAGTATGAGAGCATGAATGCGTTAAAGCTCGGAAAGAGGATCTAATTTGAAGATGTGGGTTCTAGAAATCCGACTAATAAACCACCAGAAAATGAAAATCTGATTGGTTCGAGTAAAAAAAACTAGGGTTTCAGGCCAAAATAGGCAACCAGTTGAGGCATGTAGGGCTGATCTTATCGGTGCGATGCCATATTATTGCAGGCACAAGGAAGCCTTTTGAGCGAGTGAGAGAGAGAGAGAGGGGTGGAAAATAGCGATGAAGTGGATCTCAAATATATTTTTCTAGCGGGTCTGTTGGGTTCATATTACTCGTCTGTTTTCGTAATACATTTTTTAGCTTTTGGGGTAGATCATAGATTTCATGGTTTTTGAGCAAATTTTAGGTAATGTATTTCATTTCCTGCCCATTATATGTGTACCCAAACATTCGAAATGGTATATTTCTTTGTAATCTATTTCCCCGTAGTAGAAATACAGGTATCCAAATTGCTCCTAAGTGAAAATAATATATCAATCATTTTAACACTAAATTAAGATTTGACCAGCTTGATGATTTTTCTGAGTGAGTGATACTTTAGAATCTTGTTTTATTTCAATTGCAACTTTCAAAACTTGTAAATGATTTCAATCGTACAACATATGTATTGTTTGGTAATTTCCTCGCCTTCTCAAAAAAACTATCATGGCGATATCCTTTCTACCCCATATAGTAAATAAAATTGATTTGGATGTGTTTGGATGTTTATCTTTTAAAAATGGTATTTTCCCTGATGCTAAGAGTAGATTATACACTAGGTCAAAAAGCTTAAGATTCCTAAAAGGAAAAAGTTTATGTAAGGTTGATGCATTAAATTGTAGAATTAAGGTACACCTAAAAAACCATAAAAAAAATATTATTTTTGAAAAAACATCTAATTGATCATCTCGACATTGAAATTTATGGATATGGAAACAACAAAGATTTTAAGTCTTAAAAATAATACATTTTGTAATAATTATATGCATCGTCGTCTATTTTTAATATTTTCATGCTTTTATAGATATGCTTTATCTGAACTGTTTTTAGACTTAAAATTTTATAATTATTGACGAAAATAGATTCTCAGGCCATCCTAATTAAAGTAGAGACATGACACTGTGATTGGAGCCATCTCAGCCGTCCATTCAGAATGGATAGTTGGATAGGGGGAAGAATATAAATTTTATGCATCAGGGGAAGCATAGAAAACTTTCCCTTCTTAGAATAATTGACTAATTTTATCAAGCAAGGATATGCCATTTTATGCATTGCATCCCAAAAGACAATGATAAGGAATAACATATATCATTATCAAAACGTGGAGGGCATAAATCCAAAACAACATAACTTAAACACCATTCAATAAAGAGGTACAATCACTAGAACAAATTATGAGAAATATTATCTTGCTTGGATGTGAATTCATAAAAAGAGTGCAAGTTCTATTCCTTCCCCTCATTGGCTGGCTTCTTCTCCTCAATGGCCGGCTTCTTCTCTGAGGCTAGTGGTATCAATCCCTTCTCTTGACAGGTTTTGATGGCCCCATCATACATGTCCTCTAATGTGTATTGGTATTTGAATCCAAGGTCCATTAGTTTCTTTGATAGGAAGCTCACAGGCTTGAGAGTTTCATCAGCATCCTTGAACCTGTGCACCGCCAATTTGATATGAATTTTGCTTCCATTAAATGTTGAATGCTTTTTGGTGTCCATAATTCTTTTGGTGGAGTTCTTAAGAACTCCAACTCATTAGGCATTTACCAGTTAGCTACTGCTTATAACAAGGTTTTCAAGATCATCTCGGACCAGGTACCAAGTCGAGCTACTCGACCAAGGCCGATTAGACTCTGCTGAGTGTTATACATATAATAAAAATATAACAAAACTCGAAAAAAAAGTGGAAAAAATAGAGAATTCCTTTCTAAACATGTAGCACTAGTGCCTCAACATGTCTCATATCTTTCCTATACGTGCCAGAAATCTTTTAGTCCTGTATTTTTCCATATCTCTCGTTTTCTCTTCTCTTAGTACCAGAAGATTAGGGTTTTTCTCTTAAGTAAGAAGCAAGAAGAAGAAATATGAAGCAAGAAGATGCATGCGAGAGAGAGAGAGTGCCAAGAAAGGCTTTGGTGAGTCACATTGCCGACATATCCTGATCGAAATGAGCCTTATTTCTGGTTCTCCACATAGTGAGAAGAACTTATACTTGAAAAAGATTCCATCGAGGAGCAAACAACCAATTGATCAAATTAATGGCCATCTATCTAAGTGCCAATCTGATTGATTGAAGAATCATACTTTCGTTAGAGAAAAACAAAGGAGTGAAAATACTATGTTTTTTCCAAGAGCATACTACATACATAGTCGATCGCCATAAAGAGCTACTAAGGAGCATGTTCATCGTCCACTAGATGATTATTAACTATATATTAGATCTTGAATTTTTCAATAATTAGGCCTCACCTTTCAAATATTGGACAATCTCTGTTTAGTCTTGGATGCTATTTTTTCACGCAGTACATTGTAATTTGGAATTTGCTTTTTGAGATTAGTTACAAGAGGTTCATTCCCAAAATCTGGGGTCCTAAAAATACTCTTAAATGAGGTTTTATCTGATGGAGTAAATAGAATGCATTTGAATAAATGGATAGTATGATCCCATGGTAGCACATCTTTTGGCAAAAATAAAGAAGGGCCTACAGATCACGTACGTTCACCTATTAATAATTAGTCTCTCTCTTTACATACTTCCGTTTTTCAACTAGTTTTTCCTTATCACATTTCGTGCTCCATTTCTAAGTGTCATTATTGTGTACTTAACAAATGTTTTTTAATTTTTATTGTGTTAATTTCCATTCTTTAATTTTTCATATAAATTTCTTTATTTTTTATTACTTTGAATTTTTATTTTACATTTGGCACTTTTTTGTTGCTTGTTACCTTTTCTTTTGTTTTTGTTTTTTGTTGATTTTTCTAAAATTTTGGACAATTCATGGTGATTTTGTCCACCTTTTTTTTTTTTGCCAAGTATCTTTAGTTCATTTACTATACTTTTATATTAAAACAAAGATGGGTGGTACATTTAAGATACAATCCAGTTAATTTAAAACAAAAAAGAAAGAAAAGAAAAAGTAGAGATCACTTACATTGTAGGGACGTCATACTCAGGGTATCTCTCTCTCAGCATTTTTGCGAGTTCTACGATGGTAGTATCATGAGAAGAACAGATATATCTACCATTGGCATTAGGGTACTCAAACAAGAAAACGTGACAATTGCACAAGTCATCTAAATGAACAAATTGGATTTGTCTGAGGATTGAGTAGTGAGCTTCATTTCCTGATATTTTATGCAGGTAAATTCAATAAGAATGTCTAAGCAAAATATAAGAACAAAAGACCTCAATTTTAAACATTAAAAAAAAGAAAAAAGAATTTAATTGTAATTAAGCTAATAATTATAATAATAGAAGGTGTGAAGTCAAGGAGCATACTTGTGAGAAGTGCTAGAGCTGTTATCATGCTAGGTGGCATACTTTGCATGATAAATGGGCCAACCACAAGGGTTGGTATGATACTGATGAAATCCATATTATTTTCCTTGGCAGAGTCCCATGCAGCTTTTTCAGCTAGTGTCTTCGATACAAAATACATCTGAATACCAACAATAAAAAGAAATACATGTTGAGAGTTTGAAGAATAGACAATTTTCCAGGAATCTACCTAGGTTGAAGTATAGACATTGCATCTTTACTTTGGAAAAATGCAGATGATTGATGGCCCGATATGTCTAGATTTCTTGTGAAAGTGTTGAATTTATACTTTATTGTCTCGTCAAAATTTGAATAAGTGTTTCATAAAGAGTAGTGAGAGTAATAATCTTCAACCTGTGAAGGAATGATATCTTTCGCACTTTTGTTCGGGCTAAAAAGATGGGATCAAAGAGGATAAAGCTGATCCAAAAGATTAGAAGATATGCTTACCCAACCCGTCATCTTTACTCTACGGCAAAATTCAACATCACTCCAGCAACTCTCATCGTACTCCGGTATTGTATGTTCTACTGCATTGACTGTTCCAGCAGAGGATGTATACACCACACGTCGAACGGTTTTGGCCTTTACGCATGATTTCACGATGTCCAAGACCCCCTTGATTGTTGGTATAATCACCTCATTCTACACATAACCCATATTTTATTATAGTTATCAATGTGATCCAAAAGTCATGTGGTTGTTACTAAAGCCCCTAATCGTACTGTACTAATTTCACATTAAGCTCACACTCATGTGCATGTCTATATATATATATATATATATATATATATATATATATATATATAAGTATAATAACTAAACTAACTACTACTAAGTAAATAAATAATAGTAGTACTTCGTCCTTAC